TTTGTTAGCATTTTGTTCTCCTAGAAATGTTCCCGAAAGTATTGTTCGCATTTTGTTCTCTCTGGGAACGTTCCACAGGGTTTTGTTCTTATATACTTCCCAATGAGAACGTTCTCGTCAGTTTTGTTCTCATTTTGGTTTTGGTTTTGACGTGTTCTTGGGAACTACGAGAACGACATTTAGGGCCAATTTCACAATGCGTAGTTAACTCAGAATCGGGAGTTAACTACAGAATTTTGTACTGAAAATCTCTACATGACTGTCGATTCTGAGTTAACTACTCACTGTGAAATTGGCCCTTAGTTTCGATCATACATTTTGTTCTCGGTCCCTGTTTTAAAATATTAATATTTAATATTCTTTAAAATATACATTCATACATACATATGTGCACATGCATTTACGAAAATTAAAAGTTTGAATTTAAGTACAGAAACTAATGTTTTTATTCCTTTTTTTGTCTGCGTCTACTCGGGCCAGCGGATAGGTTTACATAGTCGCGTACATTCTAGACATAAACAAAAAATTATTAAAAAAAAATTTCTCACTGAAAAAATATTTATCCTCACCAAAAAGATTATACAAGAAGCTTTATGTCGCGTTACCCGGGTGTTTTTCGTTTAACCGGCATCAACATATTAGTTACCCGGGCATCCTGGTATCATCAGCCCTACTTCGAACCCATGCACGTGTTTGCATAATGAAGACGAAGTTATTTTGTATGGAAAATCATTTATGCCCATATATTTGAATAAAATAAACATAAATTAAACATAGAAGATATCAATCAATACTTCCCATAAACCAAACGAAAGGAAAAACTTGAATTTTTGATTAACGAAAACAAAAACAAAATTATTCGAGCGGTTTTCGAGTATTTTGGTAATAAAAAAAATTTGTTAATTTTTTCAACAATTTTTTGCCTTAAAATGCTCAATATTTGTTGAATTTATATAAAATTCGTACACGAGAATAGTTCTATTGCTCCAAAAAACCTATATCCCGAAAATTAATTAGTTATATCTGCAAATCATAAGTTGCTAGAACACTTTAAAGGCTCAAAATTTACCCCAAAATAGGCCAATATTTACCGTTGTTTCTACGACAGAAACCGAATTGATTACTTACAAAAAGAAATCTGTCGATAGGTTTGGAATTTCATCTTTGAAACGCCACACTTTTCTTTGAAACCGCGTCATTAGTTCTCGTACAGGAAGCGTTCTCGTGAAGCTCTAAAAATTACAACAACATTTCGTCGTCTCAGAAAACGGATGTCGAATGTTACAAAACACGGTTTTGAGAAAATTGACTTTGAAGTTTAAGGTCGAATTAATCCGAAACTGTACGGTAGATTTTTGTAATTTTTGAAGGAGACGTAGTTGGTGTTATTAGTTTTGATATTCCATATTTTTACATTTAATATCTCTTAACGTTAATGAGAAAATTGACTTTTCATTCCGTATACATTTGTCGTAAGTAGCGTTTACTCACGACTTTATTTTGTAGATAGAACATACGACAATACTAAAGTATCTATTTCAACGACGATGGTATAATTTGATGAAAAAACCAGACATATTTATTAAACAATGATTACTTATTAGAAAAAACATAACAAAAACATATTCATGTATTTAATAAAAAAAAATCTGTACATCTCTTATGATGTAAATATGTTACGAACATACGTTTTCTTTATATAAAAACAAAAAACAATACTTATATTCAGTATTTTGTACATTTTTATTTCTTTCATTTCATTGGAAACTCAGTGCAAGCTAAAATTTATAAATTTAACATTTTAAAATTAGTTACTTAGTCTAATTTCCAATTTTAATTGTGTCGTTATAGTAGAGGACCATTGAATTGTCGTAAGTTCAAAGTTTTGCGATACATACGACAAATGTTTTATGATTAAAAAAAGATTACATTTGTATGGGAATTTGTCGTATGTGACGCATTTCCAGCGCATACAACAAAAGGCATACCCAATCATTAATATTATGTAACATACGACAAAATGTGCACGAAATATCTCAAAAACTAAGGGAGATATAAAACAAGTAAGAAAGTCTAAGTTCGGGCGGGGCCGAACATTAAATACCCGGCGCAAGTATTACATATATGCCTTTTCACCTTTCCGAAAGCTACCGCTACATGGTAAGCCGGGGTGTATCAATTTTGAATAAATTAGCGTCCTTAAATTTCGAAATATTGACGTTTCGAGCATTTCTAAAATTTACCGTTATATGAAAAGCCGTAATTTTAGTCCGATTTCAATAATTTTGAACGTTTTGCTTTTATCTGGCAAGCACAATAACCATACCGAGTTTGGTACAAATTGGTAGAACGGTTACCGAGATACATATATGTGATCATAAGTGGGCGGTGCCACGCCCATTTTCCAAAATTTTATGATAAGCGTATTTCCTGATAAAGAATTGTTGCAAGCATCAATTTTGAATAAATTAGCTTCAATATTTACGGATTTATCGAAGATTTCGTATTTCTCCAAATTACCGTTATATGGGATGTGGGCGTGGTTATTGTCCGATTTTTAAAATTTTCGGCCATTTCCTGTATCAAGGCCAACAACTGTGCCAAGTTTGGAAGAAATCGGTGCAGCAGTTGCCAAGATATACACATGTAACACTAAGTAGGCGTGGCTAAGCCCATTTTTCAAAAATTTATAATATTCTTATTTTTCGTCAAAAAGTTATTGCAAATATCAATTTTGAGTGAATAATCTTCAGTAGTTACTAAAATATCGCAGTTTTCGTATTTCTGAAAATTACCGTTATATGGGAGGTAGGCGTGGTTATTGTCCGATTTTGCCCATTTTCAATACCATCCGTCCTACGCCCGAAAGAAGTACACGTACCAAGTTCCGTTAAGATATCTTAATTTTTACTCGAGTTATCGTGTGCACAGACGGACGGACAGACGGACGGACGGACGGACAGACAGTCACCGCTTAATCGATTTCTCTTTTCATCCTGATCATTTATGTATACATTTGTATATATCTATCTCGATTCGTTTTGCCTGTTACAAACAACCGTTATGTGAACAAAGTTATAATACCCTTGTGCACAAGTGCGCTCGGGTATAAAAAAATGGATTGCAGAAATCAAAAGAGCATGTCCAACTTAGTAAATTTGCATCAAAATCCCAAAATCGTGATTTTGCACATTCGTCATCCGTTTTCTGAGGCGACGATTTGTACATAGCCTCCATATCGAAACGCAAGACGTATTCTACGTCAAAAACAATTTTGTAGATAAAAGCCAACTTTTTTTTGCTATTATTCCTTTTGGGCATAGATTTTTTATTTTAATTTGATAGAGACTTTTACGTTGGAGGAATGAAGTTTTTTCCTGAGAAGAACCCTAGTAGTTTTCCGAAAAATAATTTTCTAGAATCTATCAATCCTCTAACGAATTTCCAAATTTGCTTTCTGCGGGGTTTCTTTAAGTAAGGGTCAAAACGACTCTTTCAGGCGGGAGCTAATGGGTAAAATGATCTACAAAAATATTTCCCATGAAATTTTGCTATACATATGTATAAGTCTTGACCTTTAATTTCGCTCAGACATTTATTTTAGGAGGCCATAAAATAACAAGTAAGAAAGTCTAAGTTCGGGCGGAGCCGAACATTAAATACCCGGCGCAAGTATTAAATATATGTTTTTTCACCTTTTCGAAAGCTACCGCTAGATGGTAAGCCGGGGTGTATCAATTTTGAGTAAATTAGCGTCCTTAAATTTCGAATTATTGAAGTTTCAAGCATTTCTGAAATTTACCGTTATATAAAAAGCGGCCGTAATTTTAGTCCGATTTCAATAATTTTCAACGTTTTGCTTTTATTTGGCAAGCACAATAAAAATACCGAGTTTGGTACAATTTGGTAGAAATGTTACCGATATACATATATGTGACCATAAGTGGGCGGTGCCACGCCAATTTTCCAAAATTTTACCATAAACGTATATCTTGGTAAAGAATTGTTGCAAGCATCAATTTTGAATAAATTTTTAAAAATTTTTAAAAAATTTATTATATTCTTATTTTTCGTCTAAAAATTGTTGTAAATATCAATTTTGAGTGAATAATCTTCAGTAGTTACTAAAATATCGCAGTTTTCGTATTTCCGAAAATTACCGTTATATGGGATGTGGGCGTGGTTATTGTCTGATTTTTTAAATTTTCGGCCATTTTGTATGCTGTATCAAGCCCAACCAACAACTGTACCAAGTTTGGAAGAAATTTGTGCAGCGGTTACCAAGATATACACATGTAACCATAAGTGGGCGTGGCTACGCCCATTTTCCAAAAATTTATAATATTCTTATTTTTCGTCTAAAAATTGTTGTAAATAACAATTTTGAGTGAATAATCTTCAGTAGTTACTAAAATATCGCAGTTTTCGTATTTCTGAAAATTACCGTTATATGGGATGTGGGCGTGGTTATTTTCCGATTTTTAATATTTTCGACCATTTAGTACGCTGTATCAAGGCCAACAACTGTGCCCAGTTTGGAAGAAATTGGTGC